AGCAACGCAGAGGGAATTCACTGATACAATGCAGAGCTAAACTGTTTATTAAAAGCTTCAAACATTTTTTCACTGAAAGATAAGTTCAGGAGTATCTGGACTGTTCCTGTGATATCTCACCTACTGCTTGTCTGTCAGGACTTCTTTTAGATTAAGAAAATGTTATTTCCTTTTTTAAAATATGCTCAAAGTACAAAGTTAGAGCATCAGAAAATGACAGAAGCAGATGTTAGATTTGTTGATGAGGAAAACCCTGGGCTTGACGTGCTTTTAAGATAAGAATCAAAGCAGAAGAAACGTTCTAATTTTGTGTTAATAAAAGCGAACATGGCTCGTTGGAAAAGAGCCAAACACATCAGCTTTTCCCTCAAATCAGTTCAAAGCTAAATATATTTTGAAGCTCTACTTATTGGATGTATATCCACCTGATTCAAGATGGCTGCCACAGATAACCAACCTTGTTCAACACAAACATATATTCAAGTCAGTCATATTTTATACATATAGAAAATAACAAAAGCAATCATTTGAGGTTTGTTGTTAACTCTAAATTGTGTCCATCTGTCCTTGTGATGGACTTAAGACATGTCCAGGTGTCCCCCGCCCATCTCACAGTAACAGCTGTAGATCCCAGCTCCACGAGACCAGTTAAGAAGAGGGTAAAGATGATGGATGGATCCCAACACCTACTCTGAGCCCTAACAGATCACTTAAAACATTGACATGCAAGATGGCGGGTAATAGGCATTCCTTCAAGAAATGTTCTCTTTATTTAAACTGATGAGAAGATATTTACATCCCATAAAATCTTCAGCTAATACCTTCTGAAGCTGTAGTAATATATACATTATTACTGCGTATGAACATCAATGTTCTGTTTTTCTGTGTTTGCTGTCATTTATTTTGTTTCACGTCTTCGCCTTGAGCCCCTTATTCTTCTTTTAGGGCATCCATAATTGATGCCATGTGAGCGAGTGCAGTGGAGTTACATTCCAGACCCTGTGGGCAGACTGACCCAGAGTCCGAGCCAGGAGCTGGCAACCAAAAACAAACTTCTTCTTTCAGCTTTTCCCTCTGCAGGGGTTGCCACTGTGAGTCAACCTCCATCTCACGCTGTCCTCTGCATCCTCTATCCTCACTCCAACTACCTACTTGTCCTCTTTAATGGCATATCTCCCCTTTGTCTTATTCCTGGCAGCTGCTTTTCTAACATCCTTCTACTAAAATATTCACTGTCCCTCCTCTAGATATGTCCAAACCATTGTTTTAACCTTATAGCCAGGGTTTCTCCCAAAAATTTAAAGCAAAGTAAGTAATTCAGGAATGCAGGTAAGAGGGTCTGATGTATACAAAATCATGTCTTATGCATATAAAGAAACTTTGTGCTCTGTACCTAATCAATGTATCCCCTTCTGTTCTGCTGTAAAGCTACAGCTAGTAGTTCTAACGCTAACGCAAAGAGAAGTGGCGAGAGCGGGCACCCCAGTCTCGTACCTTGTTGCACTTCAAAATATCTGGATATGTTTGTGCGGACTGCTGCCATTGGGGAGGTATATATCAGCCTCACCCATGATATGAATTTGGGACCAAACTGAAATAACTTTAAAGTCTTGAAAAGATAACCCCACTCCACCTGGTCAAATGCTTTCTCAGCATCTAATGAAATAATGACTTCATCACAAAAAGGACTCAGTTTCAGCATAGATTACGCTAATTGTTCATTGGTTGTGGTAGTAGCTGAGACTCATCCTTAAATCTGAGCACTGACAGTTCTTTTTTTTTTAACTGCAACATGGAATGTGGCGGGCGATATGCATTTCATCAAGGACTGCTAGCTTGATGAACACTCAGCAGTCAGTCATGAGCCATCATGGCAGCACAACGACACAGTGGTTAGCAATGTTACCTCACATCAAGAAGGTTCTGGGTTCAATCCCCGATTGGACCTGGGGTCTTTCTTTGTGGAGTTTGCATGTTCTTCTCGTGCTTGCATGGGTTTTCTCTGGGAACTCTGGTTTTCTCCCACGGACAAAAAAACATGCATGTTGGGCTGCCTTCAGGCCCATGCCTCCCTTACAAAAAAGATCTGTGATCTCAAAGGGATGTGCCTAGTTATACAAAGGTTAACAAATTTTACAGTCTGCTTTCACTAAATAAACTAGAAAAAAATAATTTTCTGTTAAAACGGTGACAAGTGCTAAAATAATTTCAGAGAGAACAGTGTTTCTGAAGGAATAAAAGACATCACCACGTATTAATCTGTTGGACACCTGGCAGGGTCCAATGCTGACATGTTCCTGTTGTTAGTTTTCTACATTTGTCTTGGAATCTAGCTGTTTTTTGTTTTGTTACCTTTTCCTTTTAGCCATCCTATTTGTTAAAAACAAAACAAACAAAAAAAAACTGTAGTATACTTTTTTACAACTGTTTATTGTTGTTGCTGTTGTCCATTGTTGTCATCTTTCTTTGTTGAAATCAGGTCTCTCTTGTAAATTAGTCCTCGAGGCTCAATGGGATTTACCTGTATAAATAAAGGTTGATTGATTGATTGATTGATTGATTTCTATGGAGAAAATGTTTGTATGTAAAGTGAAATGTTTTGAAAAGTACAAAAGTTGTAAAAGCACATGGCACTCATTTCCTGCCCGAGGTGAAAGTTTGGATGTGTGAAATGAAAGCTAGGACAGTCTGTAGATAAAGTTAGATTGTTACAAACTAAAATAAAAAGCTGGAAAACAGTTCAGCTGACTCAGTGTTTACAGTATTCTTGTGGGAGTTCTGCCTTCTGCATCCTGCAGGTTCCAAGATGGCGCCTAATGAGCAACACCTGCCACCCATCTGATGACAAGACACCACTACTTAAGGCTGCAGAAGAGCCCAACTCTCCGCTGGAGCATTACACTGCCTTCTTGGTATTTATGCTTCTGGTTGTTTGTGCTCTCAGAGAACAATTGTTAACTTGTTTTATCTTCTTCCTGTGCCTGCCTGCCGGAGATCCTCTCGAGTCCTGTTCCTGTGGAGCCCCGTTCACTCCCGGATGAACAGTCTCTCCTGAATATGTTGCCCTCCATCACTTGCCTGCCACAACTGTGTCCATGCTGGTCCATGCTCTGGAACCCCTTGGTCCTGCCCGTGCCCTGGGCCAACACTATGAGGAAAAATATCATTACTAGATCCTCTGCTTATGTCAATACCACCTGACTCCCCAGGGTGCCAGAGATCTTCCCTGTTTGAAGTATTTTACATCTTAGAGTGTATCTCATTCGTATTTCAAACTATCTGGGTTTCCTGAGACCATGACAATTCTCAGACTACATTCTCTTTCATTCGTTGACAGGGACTGTAAAGATCCTCTGTTCAGGGCTGCCCAACAGGAAGCTGATCAATGGACTTTGGAGTTTGGGGGTTTCTTTTGCTCAGAACATTTCTTCTGCTTTGTATTGATCGAAGCAAATGCTGATAGCTGAAATGCACGCAGCTCCAGGAGCTAACTCCCAGAGTTCCTCTGTGCTGACGAGTCCAGACCAGCATCATTATTACAGCATTAAGCATTGGAAGTCAGGCTGCACTCTCCCCCCGCTCCCCCGCATGATAAACTACTGACGCGACTCGAGGCAGATAGGTTTTTCAGCATACATCAGCTCCAAAAAGGACATCAATTATTCAACTTCACAGCAACCTATTGTAATTACTTTGCATTGATAGGCTGCCAGCCATCACAACCAACAGTCAATGGAATAATCAAGGAGATGCAGAAACTACTCCTGCAGCATCACTAGCTGCTGCTTGATTAGGTTGTCCTTGTAGCCAGCAGGATACGAAGCCACAAAAACCAATGATGAAAACACACTCAGCTTGTGATGTGGACTCAGAATCTAACTGTAACATCTGTGAGACAAATCAATTCAGTTAATTTCTATAGCACCAAGTCACAACAGAAGTCATCTCAGGGAACTGCACAGAAACATCCATATGCATAAAAAGCAAGTTAATAACAATATTTAGCTGAGGAGCAGACTTCTTTATTTCATCACAGACTCTCATTTTGAGCAAGCATGAAGGCAACAGTGGAAAGCAGTGGCGGCTGGTGGAGTTTTCTCCG